TCAAGTCTTTTACATTTTTTTCTAAAGCTAGCATGTGTAGTGGTACACACCTTTAATCCCAGAATTTAGGAGGCAGAGGTAAGCAGATCTCTGTGAGTTTGAGGCCATCGTGTTTTACATAGTAAGTTCCAGGACAGCCATAGCTGTCTATTGAGACACTTCATCCAGCCACCTGAATCTTGAGAACATAATAAATAATTTCAAAAGAAAGAAAGTAAACGTGTATTCTTGGAGTAGTAAAACATTCGCCTTAAAATTTTTCAGGAAGGGAGATAAAGGTGGTTACCAAGAAGCCTGACTATTTGAGTTCTATCTTAGAACATACATAAAGGTAGAAGGAGAGAACGGATTCCTAAATAAGCCATGTAGCAAGCATACACATACAGAGACAGACAGACAGACCTCCCACATACAATAAACAAAAGTTTTTTTTAAAGTACATATTTTGGGAATGATGAAAGTGGACAGGTAAAACAGGTATATCAGAATGTTTGGTTTATTTATTTATTTCATTTTATTTTTGTTTTTTGTTTTTTTTTTTTTGTGACAGGGATTTTCCATGTAGCCCTGGCTATTCTGAAACTCTGTAGACCAGGTTGGCCTCAAACTCACACAGATCTGCCTCTGCCTCTGCCTCCGGAGTGCTGGGTTTAAAGATGTGCACCACCACTGCCCAGCATGTTTGTGATTTTTTTTAAAGTTTCACTATATCCTTATGAAATTGCATATTATCTTTTTCTTTGTCATTTACTTAGTACTTATTTTTGCAATATTGAAGATAGAATCCAAGGCTTAGCACATACTAGGCAAGTACTTACTCTACCACTAACCTGTATCCTCAGTTAGAGTTTACTTGATATATTTTGAACTTGTGTGATCGAGTACATATTTTTTTTTTCTTTTGAGATTATACTTACATCTTTTCTAACATTTTAACTATTTATTATTTTGAGGCAAGGTCTTACTATGGATCCCTGGCTGGCCTCAAACTCACAGGAATCTAAAAGGACTGGAATCAGCACAGGCCACACCAAGACCAAGTTATAGCCACAAAGGGGACAAAGGGCAGGGAATAAGAGACAAAGACAGGAAATAGAGGAGAGGGAGAAGAGAGAGGGCGTGAGGGGAGGGATATTTGCCCCAGAGGGACCAAAAGGACTGTTTCTGGACAGAAAGGAAACAGATATGGGCATATGGTAGTTTATAAAGGGACAAGGGGAAACCCCATATTAGGATGAGATGTTTAATTTTAATTGGACATGTTAAATAGGTGGGCCAAAGAAGGGCTTTTGGTTGCTAGACTTCTTTGATAGCTGAAACTTGCTGGTCAGCCTCAGAGGAAAAAGTTGCTAAATAAGGGATTAAACCTTGGTAGGTAGCTATAGGACTGTGTAATGTAGCCATTCTTAGCAAGGGGGAGGGAAAGGTGAGGGCAAAACCTGTCTGGGTCGTTTGTCATGCTTAGGTCTGCTAGAGCCCTCAGGAGCCTTCCAGGGGCTGAAATTGAAGGTATTGTGTTATTGTTAGCATTTTAAAATATATTTTTCCATTTCTTTTTCCTTTGGAACTTTATATGGCAAATCATACATAGAAATATTTAAATATACAAAGCAAAATAGGAAGTTTTACATAAATTTGAAAGTGCAGATATTATGTAAGCTATCCATGATTCCTAAACACTAGTAATTTCATAACCTAAGTTTAACAAGGATACAGAGGAAGTACTTAACTTTCCTAATAATTCTCTACTTAAACAGAAAGTAAAACTGAGTGGACATTGAAAGCAATTGAGAATACCTAGAATGTGGATGAGGAGACCATTTCATAGTAAATGCACTTGTCTAGAAAGCAAATACATAAGTTAAACGTACCACATGACCTGTTGAGATACTCACTAAGTAAACTGCTTTGCTTTTACACCTGTGTATTTTATGCTTATGAGTACACTATCACTGTCTTCAGACACACACCAGAAGAGGGCATCAGATCCCATTACAGATGGTTGAGTATCATGTGGTTGTTGGGAATTAACTCAGGACCTCTGGAAGAGCAGTCGATGTTCTTAACTGCTGAGCCACCTCTCATTGCACTTAGTTTTAAAGTCTCATCTTTAATGTTACTAGGACCAAGGTATATAGCATTGCTATATTTTGTTCTTTTGGGAGCCTGGCAGGTGTGGTGACAGGTGCTTTAATTAAGTCTCAGCACTTAAGGCAGTTGACGGGCTAGGCGGTGGTGGCGCATGCCTTTAATCCCAGCACTTGGGAGGCAGAGGCAGGCGGATTTCTGAGTTCAAGGCCAGCCTGGTCTACAGAGTGAGTTCCAGGACAGACAGGACTACACAGAGAAACCCTGTCTCGAAAAACAAACAAACAAACAAAAGACAGTGACGGGTGGATCTCTGTGAGTCTAAAGCTAGTTTGGTCTACTTAGGTTTGCATAGACCCTGTTTTTTTGTTTGTTTGTTTGTTTTTTAACAAAATAAATAAATAAATGGGTGGGTTGTTTTGTTTTGTTTTTTGAGACAGGGTTTCTCTATATAGCCCTGGCTGTCCTGGAACTCAATCTGCAGACTAGGCTGGCGCCTCTGCCTCCCAAGTGCTGGGATTAAAGGTGTGCTTTTTTCTGCCCGGCTTTTTTGTTTTGTTTTGTTTTTTAATGTACTTATTTACATCCTTACTTTGTTTTGAGACAAGGCCTCATGTATCCTAGGCTGGAACTCATTATATAGCAGAAGATGACCTTGAACTTGCCTCCACCTTCTGAGTGCATGTTTCTCATTGTGTGGTGAAGTTTTGTGTGTTTGTTGGTATTTGTTTACTTATTTTGACCTGTGGTTTCTCTACGTAACTCTGGCTGTCCTAGAACTCACTGTGTAGACCAGGCAAGCCTCAAACTCAGAGATCTGCCTGTCTTTTCCTTCGCCTGGCAAATATCCCTGTATTTGTGACTAAATGACTTTCAACAAAGCTGATAAAGCACTAACTGGCAAAAGATGTATGTTTTCAACAAATGATATCAGAACAACTAACAGCCACCTATGAAAGAGTGGAGTTGAATCTTTACCTTGTTCCTTATGACCTAAGTTAGGTTATCGTTTTAGCATACCACCAAGAGCCTGTGGGACTCAAGAAAAACAAGCTGGATTTCATTAAATATGTAAAATATGTGCTGTAACTGCTGTTGCCAGTTAGGTAGATGAGAATGAAGTGTGTAAAATTAGATTTTTACAAGAGATGTTTATCCAGAGTATATGTAGGACACTTAACCATTCTATTATAAAAAGACAAATTATCAATTTTTAAATGAGCAAAGAATGTTGGAGAAATGGTTCAGTGGTTAACAGCACTTACTGTTCTATCAGAGGATAATGCTAGGATGCCTAGTGGGTACCCCTCAAACCCTTGTAATTCCAGCTTCAAATACTTCTAGCCTTTTTAAAAATGGGCAAAGGATATAAACATTTGAGCAAAGTATTAAAAATCACCAGTAAACTGGAGATGGTGGCACACATCTTTAATATGTGTATGCAAGGCTATCTTGGTCTATGTTATCTTCAAATAATTTCTTTAGATGCTAGCTGGGGGAAGATACCTAGTTTTCTTTCTTAGGGATACTGTGGGTATTTTGTCAATATCCTTTGAAGTTAAGGAACTATATCTTTTATTATTATTATTTACTTACATATCTGAGTACACTGTTGATATCTTTAAACACACCAGAAGAGTGTATCAGACCCCATTACAGATACTCAGCCATCTCACCAGTACCTGGGAACTTATATTTTTGAAGTTGATCATATTTTTAGAATGAAAAAGCACTAAAATTTGCAGAATACTTTTTCTGTGCCTGTTGATGACCTGTATTTTCTTTTTGTTCCCATTGTACTACTGACATAGTATAATTGACTTGGCTGGTGCCTGATGGAACAGACTCTCACTGAACTACAACTATCCATTGTATAACTCTTTACATGATATAATCACTGAATTTTGCTGAAGATTTTTGTGTTTATACCATTAGGGATATTGACCTAGTTTTCTCATTATTATTATTATTACTAGAATTATGTCATCTAGTTTTATTATTAAAATAACACTGTTTTGTTGGGCAAGGTCACTCATTCTTTTAATTCCAGTACTCTGGAGGCAGAAACAAGTGAATCTCTTTGAGTTCAAGGCCAGACTAGGCTACATAATGATACTCTGCCCTCATAACTAGTGAGTTTGGAATTTATTGAGTATTAGTTCTTTCACTGTTGGTAGAATTCAGCAGTCCAGTCTCTGGGGCCTGTGCTTTTTCTTTATAGGATGATTTTTAATTTTCTGTTTTTTATTTGATTAATTAGTTTATTCATTTTTTTGTCTTGAGTTCTCAATAGTTTGTATCTTTCTAGGAGTTCATTTCATCTAATTCATAGTTTTAACTTTATTTTAGTAGTTTCTGGTGCTATTTTAAAGTATTTGGGGTTTTTGTGTATATAGAGGGGGTGGCTGCATGTTAGTCTGTACCATGTGTACACCCAGTGCTCATGGAAGCAAGAGAGGGCGTCAGTTCTCCTGCAGCTGAGACAGCTGTGAGGTCTGTGGAGGTACTGGAAATCTTTCCAGGGTTTTCTGGAAAAGTATCTAGTGCTCTTTCAACTACTGGGCCAGCTCTTCAGCCTGTTTCTTTTCTTTTTCATATCCAGTTATCCCTCCTTCTAGGAGTTCTTCAAGCATTGCTTATCTGACCCTTCCTTATTTTCTATCATTTTTGTGTGACTCTGTCTTTTGAAATTATTTTTGATGTATGTAATGTAGTTTGAGTTAAGGTTAACTAGGTCACAGCTGTAAGTTTTGCGCTGGAATCTTCTTATCTGAATTCAGTTTGCACCCCTGAGTTCCTTAATTTCTGCCCTTGGTATTGTTTCCAAGCCAACTGATTGCAGAAATAACTCATGTTAATGTTTCAGACTTTACTCAAAACATAACTGTTTAAATATTGTTTTTGTGCTTTAGTTTCAGAAGCTCTACCTGTGGCAACTCCTGGTGCATCTGCTGAGACTGCTGGTGTTGCTTCCACTCCCTCCACTGTTGTTGGGACAGTTAAACAAGACCTTCATTTGACTTCATTAGCTGTCAACACCATGGAAAATGCCAACTCCACAGAACTCCCTACAGCCATTGAACTTGATAGTCTTCCTTCAGACCAGTTGGCAAAAGGACAAGACACAGTTGCAATAGAAGGTTTTACAGATGAGGAAAACATTGAAAGTGGAGGTGAAGGTCAATACAGGGAACGTGATGAATTTGTCGTAAAGATAGAAGACATAGAGACCTTTAAGGTGAGTGAGTGTTCCCAGGTGTAAAGGGCCTAGTGAAGTTGGAGTGCTTGCGTTTTCGTGCTGATTCCACACCTGTGTTACAAAACATTAAAACATTTATGAGTGTCCTGTTACTGTGTTTGAAAAGGTTGGACTGGATGTCATACTTAGAATTTAATTAATTAGTTTAGCCTGTTACTCTGTGGCCCAGGTTGGCACTGTAGTAAGGGCTATCACACCCAGCAGATGTTTGTTGAGATGGGGGTTTCATGTAGTTCAGGCTGGCCCCATATGGACATGCCATGAAGCTGAGGATGACCTTGAACTTCTGATCCTGTACTCTCTACCATTGAGATACTGGGATTGCATGCATGTACCACTCACTACACAGTTTGATGCAGTCTTAGGACTGAATCAGGGCCTTGTATGTGCTAAGCACTCACTTTACCAATTAAGTTACATCTTGAGTTCAATTTATAGCACTGTTATTAATTTTTTTCAAGACTTTCAACCAAATACATTATTAGGGATATTAGAAAATGTTTATATAATTTAAAGAAAATAACAGAACTAACAAAAACATGAATTTGGATTTAATTTTAGAGCTTTAATTGTAGCACCATGAATTGAATGGTATAATTCATGCACAATTATCTAAGTCATACACATTTTGGTTAGTGCTTTTAGATAGGTTCTTGTTACATAGCCTAGTGCTTTTTTGTTTTTTGTTTGTTTGTTTGTTTGTTTTGTTTTGTTTTTATTTTTTAATTCCAGGAGAGCCTTGAACTACTGGCAGTTCTCTTGACTCAGCCTTCCAAGTATTGTAATAACAGGTTGAGCCAGCGTGCCTAGCTAGCTAGCCATATTTAATATATTTTTAGATTTTTGTGTGTTTGGTTTTGCTGGCATTGTTTTTAAATTGAGATGGAAAGCAAAGGAATTAGATAGAAAAAGGAAGAGTAACATTCCCACTGTCTGTGATTGTACCATTGACAGCTAACTCCTATTACAACTGTAGCATATTTGTTTTAGATGATATAAGAGTGCACAAATGACAAGATAATACCACTAGCAGCTTCTTCCAGTCATCTTAGTTATTAAAAGGGCAATGGCTTTCATGTCAGCGAGCTCATTTTGGGGGGAAAGCTGAAGCGGAGACTGAATAGAATCATTTTTAGGGGTCAAGTTTATCTATATATCAACAGTCCCCTTCCTACTCCCTTTGTTAGGATGTTTAATCAAGGCCTTTGGTTTATGACACCACCACAAGGTTTTGTGTGTGTTTGTGGGGAGGGATTATTGTAGACACTTAACCATAGATGAGAAATGAAAAGTTATACTGGGGGTATATGGTACATACCCTTAATACCAACACTCACCAGGCAGAGGCAGGTGATCTCTGTAGGGTTAAAAGTCAGCCCACCAGGACAATAGGGAGACTCTTCCTCAACTCCCTACTTTCCCCACCTCAAAAAAGAGAGAGACTGAAAAGTTAACAGAGGCCTTAAAGATTCCTACTCAAAGAAAGAAGTATTTGATTCCTACAATCTATAGATAAAAAGCATGTTGATTATTTTCCTAAATGTAATTAATTCTGCTTATTATAGGAGGCTTTGAATACAGGAAAAGAGCCCCCAGCTATTTGGAAAGTACAGAAAGCTTTGTTACAGAAATTTGTTCCTGAAATTCGAGATGGGCAAAGAGAATTTGCAGCTACAAATAGCGTAAGTAAAATGCTTGATTCTATCCGCTTTTCTAAACTGACCCCCAGATAAACCGAGGTGAGGTGAGATGCATCGACATTTCTGATAACAGCACGGGCTGCTCCTGCAGAGGACTTGGATTCCATTCCACGTGGCAGGTAGAATGATAACTCCAGCTCTAGGGATCCTGTGCTCTCTCTAACTACTGAGGACACCTGCACCCACATGCACATACCCACACAGACACATGTGCACAAAATTTAACATAAATAAATAAGTGAAATGAAGTAACAGAGCTGAGAAGATAGCTCTGAAGTTCATAGCGCATACTACTCTTAAACTGGACCTGAGTTCATGTTAGGAAACTTAGAGCTTCCTGTAACTCCAGCTCCTCCACAGGTACCAGGACTTATTTGTACGTGCTCATATATGTTCCCTCCCTCCCTCCCTCTCTCTCTTTTCCCCCCAACCCCACCCATTTGCCCATTCTTAAAATCAGGATAACACTAGTCTGGTTATGAATACACTTCGGAAAATACAAAGGATGGCTGGCCGTGAACTTAATAGCATAATATTTATGTGTAGATTATGTAATGTATAAATCAAATACTTCTTTCTTTAGTACCTTGGGTATTTTGGAGATGCAAAAACCAAATACAAAAGGATATATGTGAAGTTCATTGAAAATGCAAACAAAAAGGAATATGTCAGAGTATGTTCCAAAAAGCCAAGAAATAAGCCTTCACAAACTATCAGGTATTTGATTTCTTATGTCATGTATTTATGGGCTTATTTGGGTATTATTATTATTGTTTAAAGGATCTGTCTTGTCAGTTAAAGACTGAGAATGCTGCAGTACCTTTTGGAGTAGGTGAGTCCTTTTCAAAGAATGAGATGTGCATTGTAAAGCTAGTGGCTTTGTCTGGTAGAATAGGTACCTTCTTTGTTTGGATCTTTTTGGTGTAAAATAGAAAAAAAAAAAACAGAAGGTGCAAAATTCTAGCTCTTTGTGACAGAACCTCTCAGCAGCCCTCCTTTCCATCAATAAGGTGAAAGAAATAAATGAACATCAAAGTTACAGCAAGATAGTTGGGGGTTAGGGGACACACAGACACGTGCATTATCAGGTCAGCACACAGTAGAATTCCTATCTTAGATCAATGTACCTGGGCTGTCTGCAACATGAATCTGGAAGGTAACTGGTATGACCCTGTGATAGGTATTAGAATGTGGGTATGACCCTAGATATTCTCATCAATCTACTGTCATCAGTGGGTCTAGTTTAACTAAGATCACCACCTATTTTTAAGCTGCTGATCCAGTTGTCATGATGGAATTTAACCACGCAGATTTTTAGATTTAGCATTGGACAAATCTTCAGAGGCCTCAGACCGATGGATTTGCATTTCTACATCAGAATATCAGAGCTAGATTTGGCTTTCCATATCTCATATTCTCTAGAAAATGAATCCATAAGGATTTTGGTAGAGATAAAGATTGAGTTAATAGCCCCTTAATAATTGAACATAGAGTCTCAGTCTCAGTCTAGTTCACGAAAATGCTATGGGAGTCATTTGAGTTGTAAATAGCACATGGACTTTATTTTGGAAGTGTTGGTCTGAGCATATTTAATTTTTTCTTACTAATAATAAAAGTCCCTTTTTTTAATCTTAAAAGATTTAATGATTTTAATAAAATTTGTTTTAACATTGCAGAAATATTCCATCTAAGCCAAGTAATATCAGTAAAACTTCTGACCCACCAGTATCAAAAACTACAACTACAAAAGCCCCTTCTACAAAACCTAAAGCTAAACAGCTCAAAATAAAGGCTGAGCCACCACCAAAGAAAAGGAAGAAATGGAAGGAAGAATTTTCATCATCACAGTCTGAATCATCTCCTGAGGTCCGTTCTAGCAGTAGTGAGGATGAGGGTGAGTTCCCCAAGAAATTAGTATTTTGATACTTTTAGATGGTGTGCAGGAAGGGGGATGATGATGATGGTGGCATTCAGATCAATTTGTTTAGTAGCAGATTGATGCTACTATACAAAGTTCATTATGCTTTGTATAAACCACACCCTACAGAACACATTTAGCCTACACATGTAGCTCTGTAAAGCAGGAAAGGCAGAACTCACTTTGATGTGTTCTAGCCTAGGAATACCAATTCTCTACTAAGTCTGGGGATTACCAGGCCTCACGCTAGTGAGATGGCTCAGTGGTTAAGAGGATCTGGGCAGTTCCCAGCACTCACATCAGTTAATTCACAACTGCCTATAATTCCAGTTCTTGCACACACGTGGTACATATAAACTCATGAATGCACATACATGTACACATAAAAATAAATAAACCTTAAAGAAAAGATCCTATATTCCCCAAATTCTACATCTGTGTTAATGCCAGAAGACAAAAGGAAACAAATTTAGGATGAAACAATCCAAACTATTATTAATTAATGTAATATGATAGCATATATGATATATTAAATATATCTATC